CTCAGGGAAAGCAGATGAACTCGGTTCTCTGCCTGCTACAACACTCACAGAAGAGCAACAAGAGCGAATCAGGAGGAACAGGCAGCTGGCCTTGGAGCGGAGGCAAGCAAAGATGCAGTGCAACAGCCAGTCCCAACACAACGGTAATGAACTCTGTAACCAAAGTGGTCATGTTAAGGTCAGCAGCCCGAGAAGGTTGTGCAGAGTTAAAGGAAGTGGTAGCGATTGCTTTTCTAAGTAGCAAAATGTGTAACTAAATGTAAACAGTGCTCATGTAGTTAGACTCCTTCAAAGCTAAGTCAGAACTGCTCTCCCTCGTTGTCGTGCCAAGTTATGATTACTGTCTTTGATGAAATGAAACTCAACTTGGTCACCCCTGCAGTTGTCTTTCCTGCAGACTGTGGTTCTGGGGATAGAAACTGCAGTTTAAACACATAGCAACAGTTCTTTCTCATGGCAGGAAATATTTTGTGTTTTGTTTTCAGCAGAGCTCTCTGCTCATCACTCAGATGAGGAGTTTACTACCCCAGACGCTCAGGATCCCACTGACCTTCTCAAAGATGCTCAAGCTACCACAAGCAAGGTTGCTGTTACAGAAGCTGAAGATCTAGAATTGGAATGAGCCAGTGAAAAGCAGGTGACTGTTCCCCATGCTTTGAATGACTTTCTTGACCAAAAGACACCAATGTTTTAATTAGAATTGGAATGAGCCAGTGAAAAGCAGTGACTGTTCCCCATGCTTTGAATTACTTTCTTGACCAAAAGACACCAATGTTTTAAGTACTATTGTTACACTGAAATGTTGCTGGTCCTTTAGTTTGACTCCAGAAGCTCCAGGGAAGTCTTCACTGTGACACCTGAAACTGCAGATGAGCAACTCTGTACCTCAGAAACCAAGAAAGTTCTTCATCTGCATTTGAGGCATCTTTTCTGCCTTTCCCAGCACTCTTCAGGAAATATTAATGAGTTTTTTTACTTACTTTGAATTTTGTTTACAATTGATGTCAAACTGGGCTATGGACAGATGAACTTTCAATAAAGTTGTTTTTATAGAGGGTATCTGTCATCTGCTATCCCTGAATCGGTGTCCTGGATTTTTTTAACTTGCTTATCAAGTACCTTTATCTTTTTCTAATCAAATGGAAGCTATTAACTCTTCTGGGAAACCTCTGAAATTCTGGTATGAGGTTGTTACAAGTACAGGCTCTGTGCCTGTGCAAGTCACACAGCTCTTCAGATAAGTCCAGCCCCTTAGGGGGACATGCTTGGACTTTTAACTGAAGGAGTTGCCTTCCTTCACCTGGTTCTGTTCTGTCTTGAAGCAGGAATCACTGCACTGGTAAAGCCAACAGCACAGGCAAGTGGTGTTCTGAACAGAAACCTATGGGTTAAACTCACTGAATTAGAGTGGAAGAGGGCCAGTAGCTGTAGGAGATACTTGGGTTTTAAGCACTTAACTTATGGACAACATGAGAAAGTGAATCTTTGAATGACAGTTAAAAGAATTTGCGACACTGGCTTTAGTCTGGAAGATGAGATTTATAATGTATAAAATACTTTAAAAGTCATTCATGTTCATAATTGGATAAAAATTATTTTAAGTATACAATTCATTAAAAAGACTCTTGAATATTTAAATAAACTACTGTTTTTAAAAAAGCAAAACAAACCAACAAAACCCAATCCTATAATGTGAACAGGCACAGAACAGTTCAAGTTCTCACGTCAGCTGAGATGTCCAATAGTGCCAAATCCCTGATCTCCTCCAGCAGCTGGTACAGGCTCACTCCCTTGGTCTGGCAGTACTCCTCGTAGTCTTCATCAATTACTTCAACTCGAGTGTTTTCTTGGGCACGCTGGGCTTCTGCAGACTGACTGACTTCTACCAAGTCTGATTCCACTACACAACTCTTCTGGGAAACCTCTGTGCCTGAAGTCTGGTACGGTGCATTCCTGATTATTTCAAGCTTGATCGTGTCAGCATGGCAGCGGGACGTCTGCACAAGTATTTTCACCTTAAAAGCAATACAAAGATCATTTTATCTCTGACGGTGCCATTTCCTTTTACTTCCTTCAGATTAAATACTTACTGTAATATGATCGAAAAGGCTTAAAGTAACCGATTCTCCAGTAGTTGTAGTGGAAGTAATTTTATTCTGAAAGCGATGAAGTGATCCAGGCTTCCACTCACAGCTCCTATCACCTTGACAAGAAATGACTAAGCCTTCTTTGTTTTTCATATATGCAGCACCTTTGATGCCATATCTACAAAAGAAGCAGACAAAAGCTGTTCTAACAGTCTTCACCCTTCCCAGTTCTCTCCATTTCGAAGCCAGCAGAAGGTGAGCTGGAATTACAAAAGCAATATAAAGGGGCAGACATTGTAGCCTGATAATCCTGCTTCAGGGGCACTTACGTGCAATGTCAAAGAAACCCTTCCATGTTCACAGAACCAGCACAGACAGAGACTGAGGTGTTTTGAAAGCAGCAAAGCAAAAGTAAAATACAGTCAGTGATCCATTATCTTTCATGTTGGGTGGAGCCCAGAATGGCCAGGTGATAGAAGAGCAGCCTTACGGGTTATGCCAGAGCATGATGAGGAAATAGTTTTCCATTAAAAAAAAAGTTAAAGAGCAGCAGCGTGGTGCACTGGGCTCTGGAAGGAAGCAGGGTCTTACCCTTTCCTCACAGGAACTCCTTTTCAGAGTCAATGCATAGGAAAGCACTGCTTATGACTTAGAACAGAAATCTGAACTGCAGTCATGAGTCAACGCCAGGGCACACTGCAAACACTTTCCTCCTCTAGGACCCACGGTGTCCTCGCAGCATTTTCTAACACTTACATCTTGTTTCTAAGCTCAGTCCAAGCTCCAATAAACTCACCTTGGTACATAAACAAGCACACCGTTTGTTCGAATGGAGTAAATGACACCATCTGCTACGCAGCGCTCGTCTGTTTCTGGCGTTTTGTCTTTGAAGTACATGCACTGGAAGAGTTCAGTGGACTGTTTCTGAGCATGCTGGGCTGCCTGCAAGCACCCCACACAAAGAGAAAAGACACAAAACACCTAAATAAGTATTTCAATTAGCTTCTCAGGCTTTGATTTCCATAGATCCTTTTTCCTATTACTTACTCCCTTACTATCCCCTAGAAAAATTACATCTACATGTAGGACAGGTGAAGTATGAAGTCCCTTTTACGACCGCTCTCAGAAGAAAGCTGATTTAAGTAAAAAAACCAAAAGCATTATATATAACTGACTGATACTGTGTCATAGTACCCAAAAGCCACAGGATGGGTATCCCATTCTGCTGAGCAGCATGTAAAGGTACAGAGACACCATCTTACCCGGTTTCTGTTATTAATGTGTCTGCACAATTCCTGAAGATCTTTATTACTGAATCCATAATCCTTAATATCTCCTTTAGTTTCCTTCAGCATTGCTGCCATCAGGAGTCTGTGGACAACAATATCAGCGTATCTTCTAATTGGAGAGGTGAAATGAGTGTACTTCTCCAAGGCCAGTCCTGCAAATAAAACAGGAAGTGGTGTTGAGCAACCAAAGCCATCAACTGCCTCCTGCCCAGCAGTTCAGAAATAGTAACAGGAACAGCATAAAAAATGCAGTGATACCATAATGGTGAAACTCTTCCTCGGGACAAGAGCCAGTTGAGAAGTACAGTGCATTGGACATCGCATGAGTGGCCATAGATCGCAACAGTTTATTTACAATCGGATCCAAGGGGTCATTTGCTTTATTCAGGGACTCGGCCAAAGCTTTGTTAGACCTGTCAAAAAAAGAAATATGTTAGGAAAAAAACCCATTTTCACCAACAGGCCTGTCTTCTGCAGCCTGAGAACCAAGGACCATGGAGCAAAAGCCCATTCTAAGCTGTGCAAAACAGAGAGCTGGTCCAAAAGCTGTTCTATAAGGACGGCACACATGGGACAAGGTGACATCCAAGTAAAAGGATGCACTACTGATGCCTTTCACACTCTGTGATGTCCAGAAATGATGCCTCCCAGTGTGGTGAACCTCACAGCCTTCTCACAGGATCTTGACAAAGTAATCATGAATTATTTTGCATCATTTAAAATTACTATATCGCACAGAACCAACTTGATTTAAACAAGTACTCTCTATTACTACAGGAAATGTGGTCCAAACAAGGCTATTACAGAGCTTAACTACTACACAGTGACTGGAAAAATTCTTTTTGGATAGGTTTAAAATTACTCAGGTATTTTCAGCCCATCCAGCAGAACACAGGCAGCCTCTCTTGTTTAGAGCATCATCTGCTTACAGAAAAGTTATGGCAATTTTCTTTTTTAAGAATTGCTACGCAGTGTCTGTTAACAGTGATACTGAGATCTGTAATGCTTTGACAACAACACAGCCAAATATTTAATTGCTTAACTTTAATTAAAGCACTTAAGTAAGTAAAGATACCGTGTGTCTATTGAGAAACCTTTGGCGCTGGCACATTCTCGAAGCTCAGCAAAAAACTCCTGTCGAGGTGGAGGGTGTTGACGCAACAAAGCCTGATGAGGAAAACTTTCTGAAATCTTTTTTGCCACCCAGTGGTTGGCAAGAATCATACATTCTGCCACCGTCTCGTGCACCTCCAGCGGCTGCTTGGGGATAAGATCATGGATATTATGTTTATCATCCAGCTGCACTCGGATTTCCACCCCTTCTAGCTCCAGAGCACCACAGCTGTCCCGCTGAGCTCTGACACGTCGCGTTATATCGGTGAGTTTTGTTATCGCCCACACCAGCTCAGCCAACTTCTTCTGTCTGGTGCTTTCATCCAAGTCTTTCAGTTCCCGGATGTCACCAACAACACTCATGTCTCCGTCTAACAACCCCTGTGCTGCTTCGTAGACCAGCTTGTACGCTGATCGAATGATGGTTCTGTTGTAGGAGACCTGCAGAATTTCATAGGACTCTTTTTCTAGTTCCCACAAGATGCTTACAGCAAACCTGAAAGATAAGATCACAGCTCTGTAAGTCGTTCTGGTTGACTTAAACGATCATTTCAAGCACATCCAACTGTTACAAATTTACAGGTTTCATTCTGATTTTTTTTACTGAAAACATTTTTCTTCATAAAGCAAACGAGTGCCCAGCAATGCCACTAATTAATGCACTGGCCTTTCAGTTTCGTGTATCACAACTTAATCAGTGAGGACCAACTATGTCAGCTGTGTTTTCAGTTCACCTGTTCAGGCAGAGTACCCCAAAGATACTAAGGCCACATCTATTTTAAAGCACAGCTACACTGCAATAGTTATTTTTTATTCATCTTTATTAGTCAGAGGCATCCACAATGAACCTGTATATCCTTGTGCCAGCCAGCCAACTAACCCTGTACGTGGTAATAAAATGGGGTAACGGCACATCTGAGAAATAGGACGATAGAAAAAAGGTGACCACCTCCATGGCTGCCTGCACTCCAGACTGAAACCCATGTGGAAAAACAAGTGAAGAACAAAGGTGCCTTCACCTTTAGGTCACTGTTTAAATACAAAGCAAATTGCTAAGGGCATGGGTTAACATACCCAGGATGAGATAGCCATTGTACTACTGCACTGTATTGCAGCTTTTTGTGACTCCCCAC